GTCAGGGCTTTGTCATACTGCTTTTAAGAAGTTACCACTCACGCAATCACCTTTTGTTGTGGGTGAGGAAATCATTATTCCTTCCAGCCCTTGAGAAGTCACTTGGAGACCATTCCTCCCCCCTTTTAAAAGGCCTATTGGCAGAAGAGACAATACTTGTAAGGGCACCAGAAGATTTTAGGGGAGGAAGAGGAAAACCACTGTAATAGTTCTGAAATCATTAATTAACAGGGAGAGACTGCGAGGGAACCTTTCTGAGCCTGACACACCCTATGTGGATTCGACTGTGGCCTAGTGTTACTTCAATTGAATAATTCTAAATTTGAGAAGTGTGTCTGAATTTGGTATGAGTGTTACCAAGGTTGCAGTGAAAGGCCATCCCTCTGTAGATGAGAGTAAGTTTTCTCCTGAAGGGAATGGATGGTCTCTGCCAATCACTCTGGGCAGAAATTAATAATAGTGTGAGAACTGAGGACCTAACCCAGAAAAGGAGGAAGGAGAAACTTCTTTTTCTTGAGAAGCCAGGTGTCATTTGGGTCTCAGCTGGAGGTTCTCTGTGTGGTGTGGATCATTTCCCTGAGGGTGGAAGTAGACCTGGGTAGGGTGCTTCCCGTGGGGAGACAGGAGAGGATAAAGGCAGAGATTCTAGGGCGGCTTTTATTCTGGGCGGTGATGCAGTGTTATAGGTTACTCTTGACTTCATCATTCTGTTATCTCCAAGTTTTCGGTGGTCTTTTAAAATGACTGGAAGGAAAGTCATGGCTATTCTCAGTGGTGCTTTGGGAAATTAGTGGAGGGCCCCTATCACACTGGGAAGGTGGGCGGTACAGGAAGAGCAGGGTCCCTCCTGGAGGCCAGAGTGGCACTAGCGGAGGAGGTCCTGAGAGGAGGAAGGCGGTGGTTGGGAAGAGTGAACTGAGGCCAAGCATAAGGGAAGAGCCCTCTCCACAAGCGCAAGTGTGTTTACATTGCAGGCAACTAATTTCTAAAATCTGCAAGAGCTTCTGGCATCTGACTTCACATCTGTGCAGTGCGCCTCACTGTTATTCCAAGTAATGTGTTCCATTACTGTTTATTACTCTACTTATCCTAAATATTCTGAAAGTGATTTTGAGTCAACTTCTCATATGAGAACTTATTTTGTGTCACAAGGACTATTCAAACCAGTCTTCTGCTTGGTTCTCAGCTTATTTTCATATTTCGTTTCCATTCCTAGAAAATTGGTCCAAACATCATATAGTTGCTCTGGTTGTATTTCTTGGGTGTGTTGGGGGAGGCTCACACTTGCCATATCACTGCACATGTAAATCCGAGAGGTGAGTAAATGGGTGAGACCAGCACCTGTTGACATTGGCACTCAGTCGGGTAAGGCTCAGTGGGCCAGGAGTCAGCAACTGCTGCCTAAGGTCATTCTCCTTTCCGAGGCCAGAGCTTCCTCCTAGGTACAGAGAACTCCTCTTCATGCTCTCAAGTTTGCTTTCTACCAGAAATTTTACAGTTTGCCTGGATTCCTGAAGTTTTGTACCTCCACATAAAAATCACTTCTCAGTTTTGATCTTTTATTATGGTTGCTCTTACCCTTGAAATTAAGAAAATAACAAGAAAAAATAATTTTTTTTTCAATTATTAAAAACCATTTTCTTTTTCTAAAAATATTTTATTTATTTATTTTTAGAGAGAGGGGAAGGGAAGGAGAAAGGGTGGTAGAGAAACATCAATGTGTGGTTGTCTCTCATGTGTCCCCCACTGGGGACCTGGCCTGCAACCCAGGCATATGCCTTGACTGGGAATCAAACTGGTGACCCTTTGCTTCACAGGCCCATGCCCAATCCACTGAGCTACACCAGCCAGGGCCCAATTTTTTAATATAATTAGTGGCACCAAAGGACTTTGTATTTTGGGGGGTAGGGTATTAAAATAAAGACATTTCAGAAAAACTTTTATATGCTTTATGATGCCCCATAATAATTTAAAATTAATTCCAGGTTTAAGTATATTCAAACTAAAGCTCACATTTTAAATAAATTTGAAACAAACTCATTTTAAATTATTATTTAAAATAATGATACAACACGGGAAAATAAAAGTATTTAAATTTACCTACAAGTCATATTTATGTGATAATTATGACTGCCTATAAAGATTCCTCTCTAAATTAGATATTCTAAAAATCATTGCTTTTTATTAAGACTTAGACTAGTATTCTCATGATGGACAAGTACATTCTATAACACAGGAAATTTTAAGATAATTACGAATACTATATCCAGCTACTATTCAGTATTTATACTGTACTTAGAATTTTGCAATATAAATAAAAAATACCCCAATATGCTTTATTACAGTATTTCTAGAATAGGTTTTGATAACTTTTGCTTTTCAAAGGCTAAAAAACAAAAGCTCAGCATATAGTCAGTAGGCTTAATCTCAATTACACAACAGATGAAACAGGCAGATGATAGTTATCTTGGAGTTTTAGTCACTAGGAGGATAGTAAAAATCAGGTAAGACTCAATCTCGTAGATAAATTTAAAGTTACTGGGAACTAGAATGAAGACAAACATTCCAAAGAGTTTTATTCCTTAAGTATTAAGGGAAAACAAAGCTTAAGTATCAAAGTATCAAAGCTTAAACAGGTTCATTAATGACATCAAGTTCATTAGCTCACCAAAAGTGATCATTCTGTAACTGGAGTTAGTAACCCTTTTTATAGGTTGAGTGGATGATCTTTCATGTTTTTCAGGATAAAATTTCACTGCTCTGCCGGTTTGTTGTGGGCCTGTTTTTCTACCCTGATTCCTAGCCACGGGAGTTTTGTTCACTGGTTCTGAAAGAACTTCTTTTTGTTTCCTCTCTGTGGACAGTCCTCGTGAGACTCTCTGTAGCTTTGCCAGTGCTTTTGTTGTTGCCTTTCCGTTCCTTTTTTCTCTGTTGGGTCTTACTCAAGAATTATGTCTCATAGTTCAGAGGCTGACAGCCCAAAGTCAAGGTGCTGGGTGATTTGGTTTCTAATGAGAGCCTTGTTCCTCTACTGTAGACAGACAGCTGCCTTCTCTAGGTGTCCACACAGGAGACGGAGGGTGGGAAGAAGCAGGGATGGGGGTGGTGGGGGTGGTGGATCAGGTCTCTGTTCTCTGCTGTCTCTTCTCATTAGGACACTACTCCCATTAGATCCGGACACACCATTATGACCTCACTTAACTTCGATTACATTCTTATAGGCCCTGTTTCCAAATGCAGTCATATCGGGGGTTCAGGCTTCAACTTTTGAGTTTGAGGGAGCACAGTTTAGTTCCTAGGATCACTTCTGTTACGGGGAAGCCATAATCCTCTTGTGTTCCTGAAGGCTCGCTGGGGCCAGAGGGGACTTTGAGAGGCTTTCCCCCGGGTTGTAGGTAAAGGCGAAGGTGTGCAGCATGGGAGGTAAAAATGGTCGGAGTGGAGAGAAATTCAGAAAGCTCTTTCTGGGAATGGAAGAGCTTTTCCACACAGAGGCCTCCAGAGGTGAGACAGAATCTCTGATGGGTGCCTTGAATATTTTAGAGATGGGACAGAAAAGCTGAACTTAATGTCTGAATCCTGAGCTGAGGCCTGTGAGTTTCAGGGAAGCTCAAGAATTTAGACAATGAGTCTATTGAAGTGATGAGGATGGATGACTGAAGGCCATGGCACCTTCCCGGACGAATCTGGTCTAGTTGAGGGGTCTGACCTTGGAACTTGCACATGGACTTTGAAGAGCAGCCACACATCTAAGAAGGAGCTCCTTCTGAATGCAGCAGATGAGGACTTAAAAGCCACAAAATTCAGTCTAGAGAGCCATAATGGACTATGCCCCTAGTGTTCAAACCACCTGTCTATTAAAAAGTTTAGCATACTGGTCATGATGATTGTCTTTATTTCCTCTTAGAGCTGGAATTGTTTTGGGCAGGACGTGTGGTTTGTATATTTCCTTTCCTCTGGTCCCTTATATTGCCTGGGTGACTGTGGGCCCTGACACATTTTGTTGAATGAGATAATGAAAGGAAAATGGTGTAAGCGCTGTAAGAGAGTCAGGGTCTATGCACTCTTGTGCCTCAGTTCTCAACAGTTGTTAAGTTGCTAAACCTGTTGTTAAACTCAGATCAAGGCGGAGCCATCAACACACTGGATCAAGGATGGACACACAAGGACTTGAGTCCTTATAGTTTTCACCTCCCTGGGTTTGGGTATTGGAACTAACCAGTCCCTGTTCACCTAACCAGCAATCCTTCACTTGCATGAAAGAATGCCATTGTGGGTTTCTGCCTTCATAAACCTGGCCTTACTTTGTTCTTCCCGGACCACTGTTTTGAGTTGTTGCCTGAATCTGCTTCTCTCAGGTTGAAACATTTTTTTTGCTCAGATACATGCTTTTTATTCTTTATTACAGGTTAAAGCCTTTTTTCTTGGTTGACAAATGCTGAATATGTAAGCCTCCTTTAGATGAGAAGGTTTTGTGTAGCAGATTTGCCTTTTACCATAAGCAGAAAAATCGCATCTCAGTACAATCATCAAGTAATTACTAAGTCAATAATTTACATATAAGAAAAGCATGTTTTTTTTTCCTTAAAAGGTTCATATAGGGCCACAAAGACTGATACAGTTCTGAGTGTAATCACTCGCGTATTGGGTGATAAAAATGGCCCGCAGAATTTCTTTTACTTGATTTTAGTTTCTGGTATATCAAAAGCCAGCTTCTTCATGGCACTTAGGATAATTTTCCTTCTGTTATCATGCTGGTCAAATTTAGAAAGAATACATGTATTTTGCGTTAACCAGGAGACATTTTCCAGAACTTCATTAGGAGTTGGAGGAGGATCAGTACTCCTGGCATTCAGGAGCGCCCCTGTCCGGACAGGGATCCCTGCAGGCGGATTTGAGCTCTGCAGCGGGAATGAGAAGTGCAGCGTTGGCAGGGAGGACGCCGGTGACGATCTGGGCGGCGAGGACCGCGCCAGGGAAGGCGGGGCTGCAGCGCCCGGAGGTTAGAGGAGGGGCGTGGGAGAGCCCGCTGGGACCCGCTGGTGGGACCGCTTTCCCGAGAAGCCAGTTCTTGGCTCGGGCGCCGGGAAGCGGACGAGCAGGCTCAGGCACCTCCCCAGCGGCTCCAGCAGTGATAAAACTTGAGAAATAACAAGGAGGGGCGACTCGGCGTCTCCTGGGTCCAATCCCGTCTCAGAAACGATCAGGTTCCCAGGAAATTAAGGCTGAGAGAGGCTGAGGTGACGGACATACCTCCTCCACTGCTTCACCTTCCCGGGCTCTCGGCTCTCGGCTTTCCGACTCGCGCTGGGATGGCAGGCGCGGGGTCCCGGAGCTCCCTGCGCGGAGCCCTCTGCAGGCTGCTGCTGACCGTCCTGGTGAGTGGGGGCCCGAGCGGGGCCCGGAGCAGGCAGCTGGCGGGAACCGCGGTGGGGAAGAGGGTGGGTCTGCCCTGGGCCTCCCCGCGGGAGTGAGCGGTAGGGAGCGAAGTAGACCGTAAGATGTGACCCGCTCTTTAGCTCAATCTTGGAGGTAAGGGTGAGCCCAGATTCAAGCCCGGAGGGGTAAGGACAGAAAACGCTCTTTGAAGGGAAGACTGGGGACTGAACTTTTTGTTTGGGACACCGCGTTCGACTGATTGAATCACAAGGCTCGCGCTCCCGGTTTGCTGCGCTCTGGGCGCACGGCTTCGCTCCTGGGCGGGGGCTGGGGTTCGCTATACTCCCCTGGCTCCCGGGCTGGTGATGGTGGTTGGGGCGCGTTTGGATGGAGAGAGTGGAAGGGTACTGGATTAGTTATGTCAGGATCCCGGAGTGCGCAAAACACAGAGGCGAGATGGAGTTCCAAGGCTGTCTGTCCCCTATTCTAGGGTCATCTAGATCCTAGATGTGCTTAGAAGCGTTGAAGCCATGCTTCTGGGTCCTGGCAAGGGGTTACCTCTGCAAAACGGATTGCAGGTTTTGTGTCCCCAAAGGTTATTCAGCAGCTCACTTACCCACCTCCTAGAGCCACGCGATGTGGGTCGGAGTGTGCCTGGGGCGCGAGGTGGCTGGATTTGGGTTGAAGTTGGGGTCGTTGGTTTGAGGGGTGAGTTGGGATAGAGCAGAAAGGATGGAGTCAGGGTGGTTAGGGTGATGGGACTGGCGTGGGGCTGGGTCTTAAATTTGACTCCCGCGAGAACTGCCCAAGTCTACAGCCCCGCCTGGGGTCTCCTGTGCCCGGGAAACCTGCGACCCAGGACCAGATCCGCCTGGAGAGGAAGTTGGGGACAATTCTCCTAGAATTTGGGAGACATGAAGGGAAAAATCGGGAACTCCGACGGCGCGATTACGTTCGGAGCTTCAGTGGAGACCAGGGATGCAACCAGGGACGTACTATGGAAAGGGGCTGGAGACCCAAGACTTCTCCGAATCCACGGGTGGGCGTGGGGTCCGGTAGCAAGAGGCCACGCTTGGCTTAGGAGTTAGGTTGACTTTGGATTGTTGCTCTTCCTCCATCGCCAAGCTGGGAGACTGGGTCCAAGCTTTGTTCTCTCTTTGAGTCAACGAGTTATGAATATTGAATTGACAGTTATTATCAAAGATATACTTATGGACAAATTGTAAAACGCGCGCGTTGACTTGCCAGGCCACACTATTCCATCAAAATATCTGAGCCGGGAAAATAACTCTTTACAAGTGGAGACTGTGTTTCCAGAAACTGTGCTTCTAGATTTTCTCAACGTGTGTTCTTTTGTGATATAATTGATAGTGTTTCCAGCTTTTTTTTTGTTTAAAAGCATGAATTTAGTATTTGTGTTCTCTCTGAGAAAGGAACGGGATTCTGAGTTACCAAGATTTCCTTTTGTTGGAGAGCAGGGCGTGGCGTTAAAGGCGCTGCCCCGGCCCCCGCGGGGGTGCTGGGGAGGCGAGGCAAGAAAGTGCCTGCAAATCTAGAGATAGCGTCAGCTCTAGTATATGACATTCGTTTAGAAATACTTTAAAAAATAATCTCCTAAAGTTTAGATTAAAGAGTATATCTGGAGATTTTTAGACGGTAATACTGGAGAGGGTATATAGAATAATTTATAGTAATTCAAATAATCCAATAGTTTCTTTCCTTGAAAACCCTCCATTTACAAACGCCTTCAATTTCTGTCCAGATGGTAAATTAAGACCTCTGCCGACCACACTATATTTGCATTTCCTTTTGGCTCACGTAGTTACCAACTTTGCAGCCTAATACTAAAAGCATAACATTTTAGAACCAGTTTTCACCCTATTGACACCTTCACGGAGCTCTCAAAACCAATCCCGTGTTTGAAGTGAACTCTCTTCACAGCAAGTCTTTAACACAATACTTAGACTTTTAACACCTTAGCCTTCTCACTGAACTGTGTCAGGGGTCTTTCCATTTGTACTTTTCTCCTGAATCTGCATCCTTTTACCACTTTAAACTGTTACAATTTCTGATGATCCCCTTTGTCCTCCCCCAAACAAAGAAAAAAAAAAGAGGGGGAAGGAGGAATTCCTAACATTACAAAAATTGTTAGGGGTGGTGAAAAATGATTTGTGGTAGTTCAGTTGCTTATGTGTCTCCCGTCAGTTATCAATACTGAGATTCTTTTAAATGTGTGTTTCATTATGTCCATCTTATTAAATCTACTTTGGGAATTATATTGTTATCATATATTATAAATAGTATGTACTTGTGTAACAATGGAAAATTGTAACCCACCCTTCTTTTAACATTGTTTCTGTAAGTGCTGACTCTAATATGTAGCTTATAGATGAACAGGGTATTTGTATAAGAATCTTAGAACTGGTTTCAAAAGATACAGACTCCAACCTTCAGGCATAACAGCTCTGGGAGATTTGCTGACCTCCGACCTTGGAGTCAGTATGACAGGAAGCCAGGATGGCCTGAGTGTGGCCAGGATGCTGGGAAGCCAGGATGAGCAAACCAGAATGGCACACACTGGACCATCACTTGCCTTATCAGAATGGACTGTGCTCCTCTGCCCATAGAGAAATTTTCAGCCCCCTTCCTTGATCTCTTTGTTCTGTTTTACTTCTCCCTCTTGGTAAAAGCTTCTGTGTGGAGATGGGTTTTGAGACGTGAGTTCCCCATCTTCCAGGTGGCCAGCACCTGAATAAACCACTTCCCTCTACATCAGCACCTGCCTCTGAGTATTCGGCTTTCATGGCGACTGGCAGCCGGACCTGCTTTAGGTTACACTTGGACACAGTTAATCTCTCATTTTGCTAAATGGGATCTTCTTCACAAGGAACTAAAATAGAATTTTCATTTATGGCAATACACACTTTTCCCTTGGATTATATGAATTCCATCTGAAACCTATGTTGACGAATTGGCATTCTACCTTTTCAGGTTTTATAGCATTAAAGAGACTGATGTGTCATGTGAGTCCTTTACCAGACATTTTTTGTTTTTGATAAGATTGATATATCCGTCTTTTAAAATAAAAACAAGGACAATAATTTCTATTATATTTTGCATTAGTGAAAAAAGCATAAGGCAAATAAAGGAAGTGAGTGAGAACAAGTTTTTATTAAACCCATAATTTTAAGGAATTCAAAGTTTAGGTGTATATAGATCAGTACATTATCAGTAACCCTTTGAAAAGGAGATTATTGTTGTTCACCTGGAAATACAGCTAGATCCTGGAGCACCTTCTGAATGACTTGATACAAAGCACATTTTTCGGCCTTGTGGTAATTTCCTTGGCTGTTGGAATTCCATATAGGGCACCTGAGGTGACTTGTGGTTCATCATACTTTTCATTTATGTAGAATCCGGTCTTACTAAGAGTTTGTTAGGAGGAAATTAGTAGAATTATCTCAGCACTGAGAATGCAGAGAGGTAAGTCTTGCAGTTTACCTTTGAGGTGATAAGAATTTGGAAAGTGATATTTTCATTTTGCAGAAGGCAGTGTCTACAGGAAAATTTATGAATTAGAATGTCCTGTTATGCTGTTAAGACAATGTCTTTATTTTTAAGAATTCTATAGATTTCAGTTAGTTAATTTCTTTTTCTTTATTAAAAGAGTGTCATTTCAGGAAGGCTACCTTGTATATCCCCTATAAAATTGAACAACAGTAAAAAAAGTGAAACAATCTTAAATAATCTCCTTGATTTGCACCTTCCTTCTGGCTCTAGACTTTTCTATCAGATTTAGTGATTTGTATGATAAGCTTTTTATCATATCATTAATAAAATTTGGGTATACTATAAAATGAACCAAAACAGTTTTTCCAGACTACAGGAGGTAGTTCCTTATATTATCATTTTTAAAAATTTAATCTGTTATAGTTTGATTTAGAGTTGCTCTAGGTTTTATAAATCAGATGCTTAAAGTTGCCCCAAAGTGTTCTCCATTAAAAGAGATATTTTGTATCTCAAATAATCAATCCACAATCCACCAATCTTTAAAAATGCCTTTTTGTATGTTGCAGTTTTTATTGGGTACTCTTTTATATAAAATTTATTTTAAAATATCTTTAAAGGTCATTAGTTCATCATTGTTAATCTAATAATTCCTTTACATTTTTTACTTAACTTTCAGTAATATATTCAATTCCACAATATGGCATCAAATCACTTTTAGTTTCAAGAAGCACAACATAAGTGAAATCTATATATGAATATCATCCTTTAAAAATGATGTTAATGAATATTTATATTATTTCTTTTAAAATAGATTTTATTTATTTATTTTTGGAGAGAGGGGAAGGGAAGGAAAGAGAGGGAGAGAAACACTGATGTATGAGAGAAACATCAATTGCCTGCCTTTGGCATGCACTCAGACCAGGGACTGCCTGCAGCCCAGGCATGTGCCCTGACTGGGAATTCAGCCATCGGTCTCTCACTTTGTGGGTTGGTGTTCAACCAACTGGGACATGTCGGTCAGGGCTAATTTTATATTCTTTCTAATGATGTACTAAACAGCAATGAAAATGAACTACTGCTATATACTCAGCATGGATAAATTTAAAAAACATAGTTTGAGTAAGTAAATTTAATTATACACAATAAGCACAAGACTGCACATATTTAAAAGCCAAAAATTGGCAAAATAATTGGGGCTAGGCCTTGCAAATAATGGTAATGCTTTATTTCATAGCCTTGAAAGTGAAGCCCTAGTTTTCATTTTGTTATTTCTTTTTTTTACAGATTTATTTGTTTTCAGAGAGAGGGGGAGAGAGAGAGAAAGAAGCATCTATTGGTTGTCTCTCATGCCCCCAGCTGGGAACCTGGCCTGCAAACCAGGCTTGTGTCCTCACTGGAATCCAGCCAGCCACCTTTTGGTTTGCAGTCGGTGGGGTGGGGTGGGGGGGCTCAACCCACTGAGCCACACCAGCCAGGGCCATTTTATTAT